TGTCCTGCTGCAATGAGAAGGGCATGGTGTCTCACGCTGGATGAACCCAGCAGCAAGATCACTCCAGCTTGAGGGGCGCTCCTTTTGTTTACCTTGTCCCTCCCAGCTGCCTTTGCCTTCCCCTCAGTTCTGATCCCCTGTCTAGTTCATGTGTTGTGGGATTGCTCCTAGTGTTCATTTTAACTTCTCATGTGAATGGTGTGCCAGAACAAGGTGTCTGTTTGACAGGCAGACCCAGCATCCAGTTACACTCATTGCTTTCCCCTGGGGCAGCTCTGCCTTTGAAAGGAGAGCCCAGAAAACTGGAGAGACGTGATAACCTCCCAGTTGAAGGCTCCTGTTCTTGAAGGCTTAGAGACATTTCTCCAGATGTCTATTCAGTGTAAGAGAAGTCTGAGTTACAGGTTATAAAATTTTTCCCTCTGGGTCTTGCAAGCTTCAAGTGCACATAGAGTTTTCTTTTCATGACCTCTTTAAGACTCGGCTGGAAGGATCTGTAGGACTAATTAGGGGGCAATAATTCAACAGTGGTCATGGGGTTTAGTAAAAGGGTAATACAGGTATCTGATCTAGCTGGTAAGCCAAGAGCCTAATCAGTGCACCTGATTAAATGAATGACAGTTGCCTGCCACATCATAGAATCATAGAATCATTTAGGTTGGAAAAGACCTTTAAGATCATCAAGTCCAACCATTGAAGTGGGAGCAGCCTTGGTGGGGCCCCCCCTGACTCCAGTGTGACTTGAATACACAGCCTTCTGATCTGGAGTCAGACATGCTGGCATTGCACCACGAGGTGCACTGTGAGCTAGGCACCTCCTTCCAGTTGCACATGCATTTCTGGTGGGGCTGGAGGTGTTTCATGAGAGCTACACACTTGTCTGCGGGGCTGAACCCCGGCACGTTCTTTCCATGCCGCAGAAGTGCCAGGGACTTTGAGACCTGGGTCACTTTGGGGACAGAGAAGCCTGAAGCCATGCAGTCCATCATGCGATGGCCGTGTGCACGTGCAGGATGCTGTAGATCATGGCTGACTAACCCTGGACCATCTCTTTCCCCACTAGATGCTGTAGAAGAAACCAAACCTACTGAAAGTGCCCAGCAGGAAGAGGTGAAAGAAGAAGAGAGCAAGGCGGACCAAGAAAATGCCTGAACATTAAGAAATGACTCCCCATTGCCCCTCCCTCCCTCCCCCTATCCTCTATCCTTCCTTCCCACCCCAATCTCGATCTCCCCCCTTCCTGCTCACATCTGTGAGCCTGTCGGTCCCTCTCCCATTCCCACTTAAACCCTTTTTCTCTCTGTGTGGCAAACATTTAAAGAAAAAAAAAAAAAAAGCAGGAAAAATCCCAGTCAAACAGTGTGGCTTAAACATTTCTTTGTTTCTTGGTGTTGTTATGGCGAGTTTTTTGGTAATGATGATCCAATCATTTTGGGAAAATTCTTGCACTGTATCAGAGTTCTTTGACCTGGCGCGTGCGTGTGTCTGTCTGCCCACCACGAGCGCGCTCTCTCTCTCTCTCCCCCCTCTCTCTCTTCTCCAAGTGTGTGTGTGTGCAATGTTACGTTCATCCGAGGAGTCCAGACTTACCGAGTGAGTTAAAATGAAAGAGGGGAAAAAAAAAAAATCCTTTTCTTCCTTTTTCAATGTGATGGAATGAACGAAAGAAAAAAAAAAAAAACACCAAACCAAACAAACAAATGAACGAAAAATCTTACTAAACCCCAGTTTGTTTTCAGAACTAAAACAACAAAAAAAAATGTGCCAATAGCATAATGCTTGGCTCCAGGCTCCTTTTTCAAACTGAACAATAATTATAATAAATGAGAATAATGATCATTAATACCACCGTGTCGCATTTCTATGCTGCCGTACATCCTGCTGGCCTGCGGTCTTTGGTGGGCCACTTCTTGCGTGGCCCCGCTGTGCTCCTTGGCCACCGGTCAGTGACTGACCACACTCCCTGGCACTGCTGAGGGGATTTTTAAGGGAAGCAGGCTTGGATTTCGAGTGAGGCGTTAGCACCGACTAACATAAATATTGAAAGTAGCAAAGTCAGTTTTAGGAAAGAACAACATAAGCGGCCCTCTAGGAAACCTCTAGGCCCTGACTTGGAGAAGCATGGTGACCTTGGAGGGATGAGCCTGGGCAGCCTCGTGGGTCCCAGCAGAGGGACCAGCTTTGGTCCATGCTGAAGGTCCGACCCCTGCCGAGGGCCACACCGAGGGCCGTGAGGGGACAGGCTGTGAGCTCCCCCCGGCAGCAGGATGATGCTCGCCCCACCGGGCTGGGGTTGGAGAAGTTGTTAAGTAACATAGTGTGTCTGGCCCTCCAAAATGTTCTGTTTGGCAAAATAAATTGGGCCAATGCATTGAGTAAATAGGCATGTGGGCAGGACAAGGTCCGGTAGCGTAAGAGCCAGTCGAGAGCAC